CTGGCAGTCGCCAGCTCTGGGATCGCCGCGGGTAACATGCCTGGTGGGACTACAGCTCACAGCATGTTCCGGTTGCCGCTCGACTTCGGTGACGGCACCGGCTTTTGGAACATTACCAACGGCTCCCAGCGAGCAGAGCTCATCAGAGCCGCAAGGCTTATTGTCTTCGATGAGGCACCGATGGCACATCGGTTCGTTTTCGAGGTTCTCGACAGATCCCTGCGAGACCTCATGCGTTCCAGTGAGCTATTCGGTGGTAAAATCTTCCTCTGCTGTGGTGACTTCCGCCAGATCGCACCCGTCGTCGTGAACGCTCGAACGCCATCTGATATTGTTTGCGTTTCACTTCGGGCCTCCCATCTCTGGCAGCACTTCAAAATCTTTGCCCTGACCACAGCTCACCGAACTAGTAGTTCCACGGCCTATTCAGATTTCCTTCTCGGGGTAGGCAACGGTACTGTTAGTTCGACAACTTTCTTGGAGGGACGGAACGAACAAAGTCTAATTCCGTTGCTCGGAATTAGACAAGTGACGTCTTTGACTGATTTGGTCGATTCCGTCTTTCCTGCGAACGTCCTACTCGACTCTGATCTGTGTTCGCGACGCGCAATCCTCTCGACTCTGATAGTGAACGTCAAGGAGATCAACGACCACATCTTGAACTCCCTTGACGGTCATCTGTACGAGCTGAGGAGCGCCGACACAGTGGACAGAGAAAACGACGATGGCCTGGATGTCGACGTACAACTCCTGAACACGGCTACTGGCAAGGGCGTACCAGACCATGTTCTGCGGCTGAAGATCGGCTCTGTTTGCCTTATTATGAGGAATCTCAACATCGCTGAAGGACTCGTCAACGGCACTAAAGTCATCGTAATCGGCATCACCAACCGGCTGATTACAGTGAGACTTCCCGGACAGACGCAACCTATCGGAATTCCCCGAATTACGTTTACGTTCGCGTTTGTCGAGGGTTCGCCGTTACGTGTTCGTCGACGTCAGTTCCCACTGATGTTGGCCTATTGCATGACCGGACACAAAAGCCAAGGTCAGACAATAGATTCAGTCGGTGTTGATTTACGGACCGATTGCTTCACGCACGGGCAACTGTACGTCTTGCTCAGTAGGGTCAGACATCCCGACCATATTGTCGTTCTCGTCCATCCCGAACGTGTCCGAGATGGAATCGCATACGCAAAGAACATCGTGTATGGCGATCTCCTTCTCTAAACCGGACTTGACACCAGCAGTAGGCTAGGGGATCTGCTTCATCAAAACTCCCCGTCGTGACTTGACAACACCGGCAGTTGTACATAGGGGGCCTGCCTTACCAAAAGTCCCCGTTATTGTACATATTTCCATTTAGTTATTTTTTTTTAGAAATAAGTCGTTTTTTTGTGTGTTTAGTATTCTAGTTTGACAATACGATAGCGGGCCTGACTTATCAAAAGTCCCCGTTGTTGTATATTTTTTCTTTTTTTAGTAGTTAGTTTAGTTTTTGTATATATTTCCTTTAAGTAGTTAGTCAAGTTTACTAACTTTTCCATTTGTAAATATGGTTCCGACGTTTCCTGGCCTCCTCGTGGCGGAACTGGATATGCCATAAAGTTTATGGCTAACCGACAGGGAAACAAACATTACTTAATCTATTTTCATAAATATATACATGAATATCTACTACAGTCTATTTACTTCATATAACACTTTACTATTATTAACTTATCAATCAACATCAATCTACTTATCTTATACAGAAGTTTACTAACTTGTACATTTTTAAATAATTGCAAATAGGGTTCCGACGTTTACTGGCCTCCGATCTACTACAATCTATTTACTTCATATAATACTTAACTATTATCAACTTATGAACTTATCAATCTCCTCTTATATATTCATGAAATCGTTATTACTTTAATGTAGATTTTCACTATAACGAACCCTACTCTCCTTATATTTGTACTTCGCTCGACCAACAACTTAACTCTAATCTACTAATGACGACTAACAGCTAGCTGGATTAGCTGTATACTAATGACGACTAACAGCTTGCTGGATTAGCTGTATACTAATGACGACTAACAGCTAGGGGGCCTGGGGGCGGAGCCCCCAGCGAGCCAAAGGCGAGTTAGACTTATATTGGTATTTAGGTGTTGAACATTGTAATGCTGTGTATAATAGTCAGACCGTGGTATTACAATGGTTTAAAAATAAACACTATTCAGTTCAATTAATTCATATAGCCAAATTGTTGATTTAGAAAAGTAGATTTTGTTAGTTCTACTATGGTTATTATTTTTTCTATAAATATTTAGAGGTTTAACTGAATCTATTCTTGTAACTAAAATTATTCAGCTTCATAAGTTAACACTCGATTATTCAGTACTCATATCACAGAAAAACTTAACAAATAAAAATTGGATATAGGCTATTTTGATTACTTAAAAATAAAAAAAAACACCAGTAAGTGCAAAAGTAGGCTACTGGAACGATAACACGTGCTTATTTCAGTGGGAGTGTTTTCTTGTTGGTAAAACTTTCATTATTGTATCTGTTTAAACTTGAATTATTAGTAGTATGGTCTACAGCGGTGTACCAATTACGTGTTTTTCATAGTTCAAACCGCAACGATCTATAAATGAACGGCTAGTTACGTTCAGTTGGTCGATTGATTTAATTCAAATATAAAATGCCCTTACGTCTGCAATCTGGCTGTAAGATGCAAGGTGTTTGTGATGCAAGTAGCTTGTAGTGAGTGTTTCGCACAAACAATCTAGTCTTGAACCTTCGTTGCATATTCATCTCTGGTTCGTAACATTGGCCGAGAATATAAACGTAGGGAAATCTCCTAGTTCAATCTGGTCTCATGCTCCTTACAGCATAATGTTAACTTAATTCTCCTTGTTCATTACCTGCTATGATTACTCAACATGAAGGAGTGTTTTGCTCGAAGATTCTGATTGAACCACTTGATGGATTTTTATGATTCTTGTGTTGAAAGAAAGATAACTTTATGAAGGAGATAATTTCGAATCTATAATCCTAATTTTTTGCTTCGTGTTTTAAGACTTTAATTTTTAATTTTTTAAATGTATATCAGCCAACGGTTACATTTTAAGTTTGATTCAGTGCGTTGGGCTTTGGGATACCGTACAGAAGTTTTAACAGCTGGTTTTCTTAACCAATATAATTTAATGACAAACTAATAGAGTGTGTCACTGTCTTAGTATTTACTTGATAAAGATCCTTTCCGAGAACTGTCAAAAATAGTTTACTTAAGTTGTTCACAAAATATCGTTTACGTTCATTAGAAATGTAGTTTTTCCTAAAGTAAAGGATTTGCGTTGGAAAAAGATACTGGTTATTATGACTGCTATATTTTATTAATTTAGGTTTAGGTTTAAGTTTAGGTTTCATAGTATGTAAGTTTTAATGTTTCATCGATTAATGAAATATATCAGTTCTCAATGCTCACTGGATTTGATCAAAAATATCCTTTACGTTTTCTATCTTAACAATATAATTAAAAAGATATTTCAGGAAACTTCTGTTATTAAACTAATTACGTACATTTATATTTACGGATTCATGTTTAGACAAGAATCCATTTTCCTTGTCAATCACAGCACATAATCTATTGTACGTACGTCCAGACTGTCTGCATTGCCCCAAAAACTTCGTCGCTAAACTTTAATTACGGTTGTCGTGAGAGTGATTTACTCTTGCACCACTTTCTCCGACTCTTAATGCTGCGGATCTTAGACAATCACTCTTGAGTGTATTTTATTGTGTCAGAGTGAAAAGTTTGTTATGTGAAAACACGAACGAACTGCATTTATTAAATTTGTAACTATGTTTATTATAGCCTTTTAAAGTGGTCTTATTTGTTCAACAGTCTTCTTTTTGTATATTAAGTGTAAGCACAACATTCATTTGTTGGATTGGCCGAGAGGTATATTTAAAAACTCTTGGTTAAGGCATTGTTAAGGTAACTAAAATATACTGTACAGCCACCTTGACCTCTTTTAAAGATTTTGGTAAATTGAATTTCAACATTTAAAAAAAGTTGCACGCGAAAGACAATTCTTTGGAAAAAAACTCAAGTTTGATTGAGGAACCGGTCGAAGCCACAATTTCTCTTAAGTTTTCTATGTTTTTCTATATAATTTTCCTTCGTCCACACCGAGCTCAAAGTAAAGCTTCTTTTTAGTTCAGAAAAGTTGACAAAGCCTTAAAACATTCGGAAAACGGAAAACATATTTACATATACATAACGACGATTAAAACTACTGTAAAATATGTTCATTTTCGAAAACATGTTAAGAAGTAGGCCTACTGAATTACTTTTTATAACAGATAGTAGACAAAAGAAAATAGTAGGCCTAATGAGAAACAAAAAGCAACACGAGCAGTATTAATTCTAAAATATTTTTAACATAATTTTGTTAAACTGTTCTATACATACGTTTTAAACAGAGTATATAAAAATGGAAATGTCAACGATAAAGTATGTGAGGTGAGATTTTGTGATGTTTGGGTGATGGATGCACGAATGATGGATCACACTTTAAATCTCAACTGAAGAGTTTCCAGATGTGAGTTTCGTTGCATTACCAAAATTGTTTACTTTTCACCCAGCGATCACACAACTTCCATGCGTGTGTTGTGATCCGTCTTACGTTCATCCTTTACGTGTATTTTTTGTATCCTGAAAAAAAAAAACAAAGACAAAGAACGTTCAAAATCCTTCTTAGTAGAATATAAAATAAAAAGTGTAATTTAAAATCCATCCACTATTAATAAAAGTACGTAGTAGCAAGTATTCAAATGCTTGCGTGATTCTAATCATGTATTTTTATAGATTTTCTGGCAATCTATAAAAAAATGTTTACACGTGTTGAAATAATAAGTTTTAAATAAGTTAAATTACGACAGAAAGAATGGTTTATTTCTTGAATTAATCATTTTTATTTTTTCAAACATATTTGCTTTTTTTTCAGATGTTTCAACGAACGATTAACCATTCCTACAAATGGTCCCTTCTATGGTACCGGTGAGTATTACATTTCTATTTTACTACTACTATTATCATTTCTAGGATAATTCTCTAATATAGTTCTAAAAACAAATTACTGACATATACAACTGATTCAAGTAAGGTATTTAAGTTTCTTTTATAAATAGGGATGGTGATAAGAATACAAAAAAATCCATCTAAAGGTGTGCTAAAGGAAATTATTTTCTTGTTTTATGTATGTATCTGTAGAAGGTGTCAGGATTACTAAAAGTACTGAATACTAACTTTAATATAATGTCACCCTCCACAAGAAAGCGTGGGATTTATAGTTTATTTTAACTCTTCCTTTCCTGTTTACCAACACAATAAAAGAAAGTGCAAAACGATAATTTGTCAATAGTTTTTACAAGTGAACTAAACATTCTGAAGTGTGTAAAATATCTAACTTAACACTTGTCCAAGGTTTTGTATAACAAGATGGTCAATTTAAAATTATCAAAATAACTGGAGTAAAAGTTTATTTAAAATACGGATAAATATTGTATATATTATATGTAATATTATATTTTTAATTATAAATCATTGTCATACAATTCAGTAGTTATTTTATGAGAACTTAACTCATTTCGCACACCAATTGAATTTATTTCATTTACATCAAGCTATAAAATAGATAAAATATTCAAAACAATAGATCACACCAGGGAGTTAGAAATGTATATAAGTTAGAGTGAAATACCCACGCTATTTACATTCATTGCTGTTTTTATTGCCTTCTTTACATTTATATAGCCCAAGCCTGGGCACACAATTCAATTAGCACTAGTAATCCAAGCAGAAATTATTACCAGGGGAAATTGAGATACAACGCTTAGCGTAGGAAATTTTAATTATTTTGGAGTATCAACGTTCCTTATTAGTACCCTTACCTTTCTATATTTTACCATTTTATTTCAACTTGATAAAAAACTATTGGTATTAATATTGAAAGTTATTAATTTAGGGCAAGTTATCCTTCTGTTTGGGGTTTTCAGGAGACACAAAATACCCAAATAGTTTTTTTACATGTTGAAGTTGGAAGTTACATACGAGTAGGCGCTTGATTTAGAATTAATTAGTTTTCGTCGCTAAAGTTAGCAATGGGTGTTGGAAAATATCAGAAGCGTTTGAGAAACATAAACAATAATAATAGTATTAAACTTAGTTTATGTTTTTAGATTATTTTGCTTAAGTTTTTCGTTGTATTTAAGAGTCACAAAAGTACATTGAGTCTTGGAATTGCATAAACATAATAAGATAATTAAAATATTCAGAAATTCTGCAGAAATATTTTCACGCCTAGATAGACTGAAGTCTTGAATAAAAATATAAATGTCTTTCATAAATATATAGATACCTGAAGTGACTAATTTATTACACATAAATTTTGTATATCATCAATCATCTTTCAACTTTGTCTACAATGGGATAAAAACAGTCCACTTAAAACAATTCCAATAAAAATTCGTCTCCATGCTCACTACTATCACAATAAAAATATCAAGTCTTTTATCATAACAAATAAACTGAATTTGTAGTCTTAAAAGTGAGGAAAGAAGGGTAGAATATCTCAAAATACGACTGTGAGAACCGTACTAAAATACGCTAGTATCTTTGGTATGGGCTATCAGTGGTTTTCCATTTGGTCGTATCGTTGCCTGGGTTATTGTAAAAATAATATAACGATTTCAAATATAAATACTAGAAAACGTATTTTGTTTTTATTATGAAGATAAAACATACGAGTTTATAACAAAAGTAGAACCGGTATTAACAATTGCTAAACATTTTTTTATGTGTGATTTTTATTTAATATTATCACTGTAAAATAAATAAATAATAAAAAAAATGTCTTTATTTAGCCAGCGTTTTTCAGATACAATTCTGCAATCCGATTGACGGTTTGGTGATGAATTCATAAAAAATACATTTATAAATGTGATTTCGTCCAAATAAACTGGATAACCTTGTAATTTATTTATACATCCATGTGTTTATTGTATGTATAAGAAAAACTTAACGCAATCTTTTTACGACAGGAGTAGGTAGTTCCTTCACTCTGAACTGCTGCAAAATACTTGCACCTGTAGCAAGATTGCATTCGCCGGAAGCAAGGCGATTTTATCCACGCTGTCAGTAAACGGCTTGATGCAATGATGTTAGACATATCAACACTGATTAAATATCTATACTATTATATACAAATCTAATGGTGTCTGTCTGTATGTGTATTACTAATAGGTGCAAAAACTACTGAACCAACTGGGCTTAAATTTTACAAAAATATAACTACCATACCAAGGACCATTATAGGACTATTCACATTTCGGTACTGACCGTAGGCTTTGCCCCTTTGGCTTTAAAAGATCTGAGGTGAACATTTTAAAAGTAAATATTGATTGGTCTCCATGGCTGCGATGAGAACACTTACAATGTTTGTTTACATTTGCTTTGACATTTAAATATAAACAAGAAGAACTGCTAAACTGCATATTTCACAACTTCAGACAGCTGATACAAAGAAATTAAATATAATATTTTCCATAAACATGAGGTAGCTTTATTTTAATCTAACCTTTTATCATGGATTATTTATTCTAAAACTATGTTAATGATTATAGAAAAAAAAGATTTGATAACCGTTGATGTATCAACTCCGGCTCTGCTTTGGATTTTTTTAAAGCGTCTTGAGTTAATAATCTTAAGTGAAAATAATGTTATTGATATGTTTTCATGAATTTGGAAGCTACTTTAAATAAATTCTAACTGCTTCACATGTGTTAAATTAACTTAACATAACTTGCACATCACATTGTTTTTTATATGTATATTTAGGTAAATTAAGTTATTGTGTTTTGCTAAACCTATGCTTAAATTAAACTAAAGAATATCTTCAATAACTAAATTGTCGTTGATTTTTGTTTTCTAAAATCTGTTGTATATGTGCAACTATATTTAATTATCAAATGGTAATACAACATACTCTTATTTTATTTTAACATAGCTTTCAGTTCACATTTACTTTATTTGATACATTTAGTATTTGTGTTTTGTCACACCACTGATTACATTTAACCAAGGAAAATATCATAAAACTAAGCAGTACACAGTGTTCTTTTGTTTCTAAAATCAATGAAATATCTGTTACTCTGTTTACTCAATTGGTAGTGTGAAAATGTAAAGGCAATAGACGATGGAACTAATTAAAAGAACTGGTTTGTATATTAAGTTGTTTGTTGATATTTTTGTTTAGTAGAATCAGAGATGCAATGAAACATATACTGTAGTGTATTTGCTATAACATTTTTTAGTCCTTGATGCTTTGATAATCATATTAGTTTTGCCTGCTGTCTTTAATGCTTATTAGTACCTGTAGATATAGTTTCATTAATATTTCAAAAGACTGTATTGATAAGGCACAGCAATATTTCTAAAGTTTATAACAGCTGACTTAGTTTTGCTAATGATTTATTGAGAGTAAAAAAAACTGAAGATGAAAGGATTTGTGATTTAATATAAAAAAGAGTTTAATATAAAGATATTTAAATAAATTTAATAATTAGTATTTTGCAACGTCAAAATTAAATTTAAAATGTCAATAATAAATTAAAATATGTGTAATTAAGGGAGATAAAGGTAAATCTGGTAAATCATGTATGTCAAAGTTTTACTCGAAGATTTGGTGAGTTTTTCTCATAACAGCCTACACAAGAATTAAAAATTAATCAGAACCAAAATGGTGGTATCCACTACTTACCAGATTTAAATGTCATAACTTAAACGTTTCTATTAAGGCCATAAAAGTTGAATTTTGTTTCTAAAAGCGTTGGCGGACGTGTAACTATTATATACAAGAGATAAAGATTAAAATGTTTCTATTGTGTGTCCTCTTCCCGTTGCAAAGCACGGGTACAACAGCTAGTCTTTCATATTAATTCACTGGTGAACATGGTTCATGAAGTGTTCGTGCTTTTGGTCTGTATCAAATTCACAACATTTATTACCATATGTTACAAATAACAAAATTGTTAACTTTTTGTTGTCACTTAGTTTTCACATGATTTAAGTCAAGTTTCGTTTTACTAAGTTGTACTTTTTAATTGTATAACTGAATACACGTCAGTTCAAGTGTTAATATATTCCCTATGTAGTGTTCGAAAATTTAACTGTGCATGTTTACGGTGACAGTATAATAGTTTGAGGTCTTAATATCTCAAAAATCTTTTCCGATTTGGTAAAAAAAACACGGCTGAAAAATGGATATTTAAGTTTTTTTCTGAGATAGTGTTTTTAATTCTTTGAATTCACGTTTTTATGTAAGAATTATTTTTTATAGCTACACAAAATAAATACAGATATATATATATATATATATATATATATATATATATATATATATATATATATATATAAAAATGCGAAGAAAAGAAAAACAGCTTTTATTATGTGTATGTATAAACGCATTACGTAATTATATTTACAATACTATTATTTCAGTCGGTTATCTATATATATAATTCTGTAAGACCAAATTTTTACCAGAAAATTGTGGACGTCTGGTAAGTCGCAGAAAAGTGGGAGGGGTCTTAAATTAAAGTTCTTGACCCCACGGACTCGGGAAAAATAGCAGAATTCCCATAAAATTACCAGAAAACGAGATATAACGTAAAATATCCACCATAAGAAATGCATGGGGACTGAAAAACGTCTGCATTCTATCAGCTGTTGCTTATTTTTTTGCAATGTTTACATTTATTCCGTAAGTCAATGTTGGTAAATAATGTTTTAAATGAGTTGTGTTTAATTTTTTGGTTTTCCGTTTTATAATGAATGAAGTAGCTAGACAGGAAGACTTGCAAGACGTGGAAGAGTGTCCAGGAATTCAACAGACTTAAGAAATGCCAAAGAGAACGTCATGTAGGGCCTAACTGCGAAAGAAATCCAGAAGCTGTTTTACAACCTGTCTTTAGAAGAACGCTGGAAAATGAGTTGAGTGT